TATCTTATCCCTTACGGTCTGTCTCTTATACACATCTAGATGTGTATAAGAGACAGATTGCAACTAACACAAGAGAAGTTACTCAAGGGTTCTTCTGTATAGTGATTAGACTATATTAACCAGTTTAAACACCCATCAATGTAAAGAAAGGGGGAAAGCACCTACCATGAAAAGACAAGCACCATGACAATTAGCATTTAATTTATCTGCTATCTTTGTTGCCACACCATTTGGTCTAAATGAAACAAATAAAAATAAGAATTATACACCAATATTCAATGTTTTTTCTCAATAATTATATGACAGAAAGTAAAACAAAAAACTCCAAAAAGAGATATTTTAAAGATTCAACATTTTATCATTTTCAAGAATTGTGACTGAAGGTATATTTAATGATTTCAGATATTTAATTAGGAATTTTTTTTTTATTAGTTATACTTACTTATTCTCATCAATTCTTTCATTTGCCTGGTAATATCCAGCTATAACCAGTTCATTCACCCTGTTTTTACAATATGAGTCAATCTGTTGGACACATTAAGAAGTTAAAGTTAATCTTATATTGCGCTTGTGTTTTAATGTAATGTTTTAACATATTCTAAAAATAGAATATATAATATATTAAATTATGTACATGAAACAGATATCAAAGAAAGTTCTAACGATGCTCCACTGTCTCTGCAGCTAAATAGCTCACATGGACCCCAATCGAGGCAATGTCAATGACAATAATATTAATAAAATAATACTAATAGGCCTAGGCTAGGCCTACTACACAACACGTGATTTTCTTGACCAAAAATCAAAAAGGGTTTTCTAAATGCTAGACTGGACCTAAACATTAAGCAGTCATATTTGTTATTGTATTAATGCTGAGTCACCAAATCTAACGTCGTAGTAGTAGTGCCAACAAATATCTCAACGATCACTTCCTTTCCTAAAGCTGAATATCTAGCAGCCATGGAAAAGCTCTTTGCACCTACCTGTAATAACGCTGTTTCAAGCATAGGGGCTAGCCCAAGACATTGATGAAATAACGGTACACAATCGACAAAATATAGTAATTTCGAATTACTCAGTTTCTTCTTATCTGCTAGCAACACTCCATTAACTGCACTATGTGGATACTTAGCTGCATGTAAGACAAGTTTGGCGTAAGCCTTGACATTCACTTTCACACGTACATGTTCAGCCATGTTTTTTGTCTTTAAGATTGACCCCCACTGACCTGGATGTGCGCCCTCTCTTTTCTTCTGTAGGGAAGATATTTTTTTTTTCTATTCGATCTGAGTGGTACAGTACTCATAGAGTTTCGGGAAGGAATTGATTTCTAATCTATTACAGTAATAGTGAAACACTGCACTTTCAGTCATGAAACTACATCGAGGTCTTACTATATTACAAGTCTACAGTTAGTTGGACTAGGCTAGGCCAATTTTCTCCAACAGAACACTCTTCCAGTCTCTACATTCCGGAGATTGAATAATGATTACTTATACTTATGGAAGTAAAAGTGCCAGTAGGCTTACATAAAAACTATGATCATTTAAAAAGAAAGAAACCCAATATAGACCAGGCTATAATTGAGATAGGTGCCACTTGGAGAGGTAGAAATTCTCATATGGTTTTTCTAGACCAGTTTTTTATGGGGAATCAGAATATGTAAGGTAAAAGGGGTGTAACCTGAGAACTTTCGCGTGAGGGCGCTTTTTAAAAATGGCCGCAAAAATCCAATAAACTACATATATATTGGTAAAATAAGCACAAAAGAGGTAGGTTTGACCAACTTTTGAATATGTAATGATAGGAGTAAAGTATAACTAGCTAAAGTTATTGATGTGAAGATTTTGGAAGGCAATTGAGGGCGCTTTTTAAAATGGCCGCCAAAATTAAATAACAACTTAACAGCAGCTTCAATACCCTAGATAAATTTGTTTAATTTACAATATACATGAATGTAATACGGTAACTGCTGTTGACTTTTTAAACCGAAAATAACATATTTTAGGGGTGTAAGCTAACTCACTTTTGAAAATGTAAGTAAAAATTCCTCCTTATATTATTAGCCCTTTTCTGTTTTGAAGAATGGAAAATATCACCAAAATCCTAAAAAAATTCCAGCTTCCTTACAAATATCCGGTTGCTTTTTTTAAAATTATTTCTGTGTGCTATACAAGGTATTCCAGACAACTACCATAATTTTCATGTATGAAGAAGGCATCAATTAATTTACTACATTTTGTCCTGTAGTGTATAACAGCTTTATGTTGAGCAATAATCTTCAGGTATCGCTTTTATCACTGCAATTTGAAAGTCTTCGTATTTGTCGTACAATTCTTGGACTTCCACAAGAATTTGTTCATTCCATCTGTTCCAGTAACTATTTTTATTGACAGTCATTTACCTCTGCTTATTTTCATTCTTGAACGATTACCTTTGTTAAGTATCTGAAGCTCGAAATTCTGCTAACATGGTGGCAACAATGATATGTCAGTGATCTTGTGTCTCTGCAAAACTTTCTATTGAACATTTTACTTGCTTGATTTACACTTTTTTCCAAGCTGCAGTGAGATATACTTTTGTTCTTTAGACAACCTTTATGACAGAACATCTAAAACTCCGAAGTTGCTGAAAGTTTCAACAAACTCAGTTAATGATTACAGAAGCTACGTTTTCCTTTACGAAAGAAAGCCGGGGTGTAATTGTCTGTAATA